AAAGGTTACACGTCTGATGAATTATTTGAAGCAATGTTCCGTTCGAATAAAGCTCGTAATGAAATCAAGAGTTAGCCGAGTTTGCATGAAATATGATGTTTGAGATAATGGATTAACAAGACAACGATCAGATTCAGGTAATTTTATTGACTTTTTCTAGAAAACTAACAACTTATGACATGATGAGAAGAACATAGAAATGAAATAGACTCGCTTCCATCGGTTGAAGTATCCTTTTTGACAACGTTATTCGGTTTCAAATGAAATCTGAGAGTAAACCACATGATTGACGATAAAATGGATACTGAATAACTCTAATAATTAAAAAATTCACCTTTTGTTGTATATTGTTGAAACAATTTCATAATTCTCGATGGTCAACTATCACATTCCAAGTGTACAACTTCAAGGAGGAGCGTATTCAAGTATTTAACTTATTCCAACATAGACATTGAATGTATGCTATCCATTAGAATGTGCATGGTATATGAATGGTTTTTTGATAATCAGTCTGTGCAACAATCATATTCATTTGAGATTGGATTTTCAATTTAGATAATATGATGCGATAAAGTAAGGTATGTAATTAGAATCAACAACTGTTTTCTTCAAATATTTTACTCTTTCGAAACAAATGACGTCAGCCCATCTTCTCAGCAGAAATCACTCAGAAAATAAACCACTTTGACGATGGTTCCAACAAGTATATCGTGCACTGCGATGCGCAGTATGCCCGTGGGTGCATTAGAAAAAATCTCTTGGCAAATGAATCATGTCAACTATAGTTTCATTCATGTGAGCGCTCACTTAGCAGAAAAGTTTGTGGTCTGATCATGTCAGCGAAGATCTTTTGGCGAAGGAATCATTACAATTATGATTTCATTCAAGTATATCACGCATTTCGCAGCAAAATCTGTCACTCGATCACATAAGCAAAGATCTCAGGGCAAGTGAATAATTAAAACCATGATTCCGTTCAAGTATATCGCTCACTTCAAAGCTAAATGTGTAACTCAATTACATCATCAAAGATACATTAACAAAAGAATGTTTATAACTAAAATTTCATTCAAGTATGTCATTCACTCTGAAGCGAAGTATGCCACTAAATTCACATCAGTACAAATCGCTTGGCAAATGAATCATTCTAACTATAACCTCATGCAAATATATTGCTCATTTCGCACTGAAATATGTCGCTAGATTACATCAGTAATGTTGTATTGATAAATGAATTGTTCTAAGAAAAGTACCATTTAAAAATTTTTCTCAATTCAAGATGAATTATCTTACACGATTCCATGATCAAAGATCTTTTGACAGATGAATAGCTATAACCAAAGTTCAATTCAAGTATATTGTTTGTTTCTAAGCTCAGCATATCATCCAATTATGTCGACATAGATCTATTGACAGATAAACTTGTATAACCAGGGCTTCATACAACTATATCGATAAAAAATAGATGCAAGTCAGATTTAGCTAACTGTTTCAGGATGCCTAACAGGTGAATAGTCCAAACAAAGGATTCACCCGGATATGTCATTCTTGAACTGAAATACTAAATATGAGACGCATTGATGAAAGATACATGGCGAATGCATAAGTTTGAGCATAATTTTGTTCAACTATATCTCTTACTTCTAAGCGGAGTGTTTAAGTCGATCAGATCAGCAAAGCTGTATTGAAAAAAGAATCGTTTTAAGCATGACTTTATGCAAGTATATTAATTGCTTGATAGTGCAGTGTGTCACTCGATCAAATCAGCACAGACCTTTTGACAAATGAATCGTTCTAATTACGGTTTCATTCTAGTACATCGCTTAATTCGAGACTAAGTAATCTTCAGACTAATACATGAGAATACACATGTTTAATAGCTCCTTTTAACAAAAATTTTGTGGAAATATAGCCTTTACTTTGAAACAAGTTTGCAGAAAATCAGATGATCACAGGTTCAGAGAGTAAATGAAATATTCTAAGTAGGATTCCATTCAAGTGTATCGCTCATTTTGAAGCAGAGTGTGTTACTCAATCAATTCGACAAAGATCTCTTGATAAATGAATCTTCTCAAGTATGATTTCATTAGAGTATATCGATCATTTTGAAGTGGAATGTGTCACTGAGGCAAATTGGTAAAGGTCTCTAGGCAAATGAATCTTTTCAACTATGATTTCAATGAAGTATATCGTTCGTGCCGAAGCGAATTATGTCATCGATCACATTAGTAAAGATCTATGAACAAATGAATTGTTATAAGCAGGACTCCCTTCGAGTATATCGTAAACTTCAAAACGAAGTGCGTTACTCGACATCATCACTAAACGTCTCGCAAGAAATGACTTGTTACAACTAGAGTTTCATTCAGATATATCGCTTACTCGTAAGTGAAATGTGTCATAGAATCACGTCAGCGGTAGAATAGTATGAAATGGATAGAGTTAAGTATAATGATGCTGTTCTAATATCTTAAATGACTTGAATAATTCAGTTGGATAACGAACACATTATTTGTAAAGATGCCAACTAAATAGTCATCACAATCATTCTATTCAATTATTGCCTACATTTAAGAAACATGATATGGTTGAAAATGCATTGTAAAATATTGTGTAACATGAATAAGGTGAATCAACAGTTGATTCAGATACTTACCGATAGATCGTAGAATTTGAATGGAAGAACTTTGGATAAATGATTTCAATATATTTAGATATTTTTAAGAAAGCATTGATTCAACTATATGAATGACTAGAAGGAGAACATCTGAAGTATTATTCAGAATAATGACGGCATAACGCATGCACAGTCAGTACACAGATCCCATTCAAATATTTCCCATAATTTGGAGCGGTCATTTGATCGTGATTGATGGACGAAAGTGCACATTGTACATGACACTGTGTTTGGTTTGGAGCTGGTCCAAGTGTTGTCGCCGTAGTAGCTAAAAGAATAGAATAATTTTTACTTGAATTTAAAACTTAATACGCTGTACAGTATCCTCAGAATAAGCTAACAAAACTACTTCAGTCTTCTTTTGAATTTAGTATATAGAAGACTTTACCGTTTTCGAGATATTATATAAACTAGGTCGTACCTTTGGACATAAGCAGTTTCAATATATTTATCTTTCGGTTGAAATGAATCGTGATATCTCCTACTGTGTGTATCTAACTTCTAAATAGTGAATGTACAATCTGAGTCCCATCGCCCTTAGACTATAGTTACTCAGGTTCAAAGTTTCAAGAAAACAAGAGAAAACGACATTCTTTGTTTTGATGCTCTATTGCTGAATTTGTGTACTGTTTTATTTATCAGTTTTGACTAAATCTGTAGTGTTTTAAGTGCATTTTCCCTATCGTACGAACTCCTTATTCGAAAGTTGCATTGCATAAGTGGTCAAGGAAGTTCATTCGAGATAAAAATGAGTGGAAAACATCCTCTTAATAATTCTGCTTCACTTTTTGGGTACTCCGATTTGTTCTATTGCCAAAGATCATCTTTCTTCCAAATTTTCTTTCTTTGTTGGTGTGAGTGTGGGTGAGTGAGTGCTTGTATGAGTGCAGACGTGGGTGTAGTTTAACTGAAGACTCAAACCCACGCCCCATACTCACACCACTGCTAGAGACAGCAGGCGGAGTATTAGTAGCGCCACCTCGCATGTTGGTAACATTCTCAGGTAACCCATGAAAAATTTGCAGGTAACATGTACAGATAGCAATGCAAAAGTTTCACGGTATAGATGTCTCAAGATTAAAAATAATGCTAAATTACTCCTGTGAGGATCTGTGGAAGGTACTCTGTTTCACTTATTTTCCACTAGAAAAATGTTTGCTCTTTATTTAAGTGCCTTAATCTATATGGTAATAGGTCGTCCTATCTGTCATCTCATGCATATACTTTCTTTCTTTCTTTCTGTGACATATGTCCTTCATAGATGTTTTGCTTTCTTTCTGCTACAACGCACTGACTTCATGTCATCAGCTTCTCTTTTCTTAATGTATTATCATCAGGTTTTTAGGTAATATATTCTGAGTCCAATACAATAAACTGATTCAATAACCAATGTTTCATTGAAAAAATTCCGTCCCTACAGGGTTAATGGGAATACCTAAACATTATGTAATTCTAATATCAATAATGCTAATGCTAATTTTTATCTAACGCCCTAGACAAAACGTCTCATGTATCCGAGAACATAATCGACATTGATTTTTGCAGCTGACTATTTGCATTTGTAGACGCCGACGTATTTTAGAAGTTTCAAAGGCAATAAAGCATTGAGAAGATAAATTTATAAACTCGTAAAAATTTTCTCAGGAGTTATTTTGTTGTAAGTCAGTAGAAATCTGTTAGGATCATTCAAATATAGATTGCTCGCCTATATTCTGTTGTTGTATGGAAAAAAACAAATATGGTATAAAGAAAAATAGTTTTTATTAATTTCGATTGAGAATATTTTATTCAGTTTACTACTCGATTCTACGAACCGTTCGATTAAACTGAATCTTCAGAATTTTGTTTAAGCCTTTCTAATCTTACAGTAAGATCGCTGTGATCTTTTAGACACTAGTTGAAGGTTTATCTACAGAAGCAAGTGTTTCATAAAGTCTTGTGATAGCTGCATAAATTCGTCAACGTTGTTTATCAATTTTTTTTCAAAAGAAAATTGATTTACTTATTAAAAGTCTTTCTGTGTCATTAGTCCAAGATCTACGCAATATTCTAATGGAAAACTAGTGCTCGTCCATGGAAGATAGCTGCTTGAACTTTAAAAACTAAAAAGCTTTGAAAATGAGAGAAAAATCGAAAAATTGCAACCTCTCCATTTGTCTCAGTTGAGTATGATCACAGAAGCTTCGTTTCATGACATGGCATTTCTTCATTGTTTGTGACATTTGAAGTGCAACTTTTTCTAACTTAGAAGATCTTGCTACATACGAAATTCAAAAATTTTCAATATTCAAAATTTGCCTTAAATCGATGTAGGGAGTCGTATTTAACTATTCAGCCTATCACTTACCGGTAGTGGTTGTTGTTGTCGTCGTTGTTGTTGTCGTTGTTGTTGTTGTCGTAGTTGTTGTTGTCGTTGTGGTCGTTGTGGTCGTTGTTGTTGTTGTCGTTGTTGTTGTTGTTGTTGTGGTCGTTGTCGTCGTCGTTGTTGTTGTCGTCTCCGTTGTGGTTGTTGTAGTGGTCGTCGTCGTTGTTGTTGTTGTCGTCTCCGTTGTGGTTGTTGTAGTGGTCGTCGTTGTTGTTGTTGTTGTCGTTTCTGTTGTCGTCGTTGTTGTTGTTGTTAGTGTTGTTGTTGTTGTGGTCGTCGTCGTCGTTGTTGTTGTTGTCGTCGTTGTTGTTGCTGTTGTTGTAGTTGCTGTTGTTGTTGTTATCGTTGTTGCTGTTGTCGTGATTTTACCACCTTAAACACAGAAGAAAATGGTTCTTAGTAGTAGCTCAGGCCATTGATGAGTGGATAAAACGATAGTCTCCCTGAGATTTCAACTGTTCGACAGGTACGATGCGCAAAAACTCTAATATCAGTCATAAGGATGAGCTTTCTTATTTAGTGTCGTCTCTAAACTAGTTGACGCATCTTCATTATAGAGAAAGATTTTGATGCGCTTGTATTAGAATGTTTTTGCCCTGATGAAAAACATTCAATTATTTATCAGGAAAGCACAGGCGAATGATTTCTTCACTCAAAACACAAATTGTTCTGATTAGTTTTTTAAACTCATTCTTTGTCCTGTTGTCTTCTTTATCTCTTCAGGTATTTGATAATGTACTCGTGCGGTCATATTCATGTGAAACGTAATGATTTTTCCTCTATTCTGTCAAAAAAGTGAACTTTTCATTAGCACAACTGAAAAATAAAGTTCTTCATCGCTACCTAAATGTTTGAATTGCTTAGATGTGTTAGATGGTGCAATACTTTGGTGGTCATTTTTCGGCTTGTTCAAACGTAACGCTGTTCCATTCTTTATAATTTTTTTAACAATCATCAAGAAGGATTTGAGAGCTAAAGCGTTTCTTTAAAAGCCATTCGTCACAGATTCTCATCCTGTATACATGATAAAAGAATGGCAAATTTTGATGAAGTATAAACTTCTGGGAAAATTTAATCGTCACATAACGCTGTTTCATAAAAGGAAAAATTTTCTCCAGTACCGCTGGTAAAACTTTAATTTCTTATATAAGAAATTCTCCAAATGAAACGCATTTAGAGTTAGTTTTTTAGAGCATCGAACAAGCTTTTAATTAATAAGAAAGATTTCCCTAAACTATTTTTGTTCAGATAAAAAAATGTAACAAACCTATTGTAATGCTGTTATACTTTTTTTGATCGATAAATTTCGAGACATTGAACGTGCTCAGAAACATCTTATTTATTGGGTTGTAACATAAGTTCTGCAGGTTTTTCTGTAAACCAACAAAATTTCACTGTCTTTTTCGAATCATAACTGACTAGTTTCTGCAAGTGTCTGATTAAACAATTGCTAGCAAGATGGGCCCAAGTTTTGAAAATAATGGCAATTGTATTGTTGATTGATGTTGCATATCTTTGTCGTAAAATAAATTTGTTCATTAACAACAAAATCTGCAAAACTTATGTTGCAACCCAATATATAAAGATGTTTCTTTCATGTGCATATAGTCGTTCTACGAAAAAACCACGTTACTAAATCAAAACTAGAATTCATTAGCTGCATAATAAGTTAGAATCTTTCCAAGAATGTGCAAGTTATCTTTAGCGGCGAAAATGAAAAATAAATAGGCCATTTTGAGAAAAAATTGAATTATGCAACGAATGGTCTATCAATCACAATTTTGTGAAAGTCACATATAGAAAAATAACAGGCGAGTAGCAAAAACATCAAACAAAGTAGAACGTCTGTAAAAAAAGGATAAAAATTTCTGTTCGAAGATTAGAATTAAATAAAAGAGATTTTTCCTTCGTTTACCCATTGTCTTGGATAAAAACTATATCCTATGAGAGATTTCTGACTTTACTCATTTTGTATTAATTTAGTGAGGCGAAAGAATATATGTCAGTACTACATTCATCCCCAAGGATGCTGTAGAAACAAGCTTTTTTGAACAATCTCTTGATTAGTGATGCAAAATACGTTTTTTTATGCTAAAATACAATGTTTTTAAAGGAAAACAAAATTTAATTCGTAAACAAAGTTTAAAATTGCATCTAACAATGCATTCAGATCTGTCGAACTCTAAAAATTTCAAACACTTGGTTGGCGATATGTCAAGTTATATAGGCAAGTCATTTTACTTCTGCTTGCGAACGTTGTCGTCGTTTTTGTTACCGATGTGCTTGCATCTATTTTCGGAAATTGAAGTCAATCAGAAAAGAAACAACAAGAATGGTCATGCGAACTCGAGTGGTCAATCTGTGGATGTTGAAAAAACAATGCCTGGCTTTCGAAAACTTCTTAGGTATCGTTCAGAGATTTGCTATTTCATGAATTAGTCAAAAAATAAACAGTTTCATATCCTATTAATAAAAGATATTAGAAAGAATCATCTGAAGTGTTTTGTTCGAATAATACCAATATGAAACCAATAGTAGTTCTTGAAATCTTTAAGTGAACAAATGCAGATGGTACGTTCTGCCTTTGTTTATTAAATTATTGACTAAGGAATTTACCAATTGTAGAAGCAACTTTTGCGAGAACAGAAACAATATGTCTCCGTTGAGCTTATTCTTCTTGCGAGATCTATTGCTTCATTTCAACCTGCTACAAAAAAAAATCATGGGGATAATTTACCTCAAAAAAATAGTCTTATTTGTAAGCATTGACTATTCTCTTGTGTTCTCAAAGCTAATTGTTGAAATAAAATAACAAGTAAAGTACTTACTTAAGGTCAATGCAAGAGCCACAGCAATGGCAGCTGCTACGAGACCGAGACATAAAGTAAATGTGCATAGTAAACAGCCAGGAAGGCATGCCATATATCCTCTGTGTTTCTTTCGGCTAAATGTAAAAAGATGGAAATGATAGATTGGTATCCGTTGAATAGCTGTTATTTTTCAGCTTCCTAATTACTTAATTTCTGTCATTGCATCGTTTACGACGTTAACATAAGCTATATAGTTGTCTTCGGGCGCTATTTGTGATCGACGAATTAAGAAGTCATTAGTAAACTGCGAATCAACACCATATGGACTTTCCATTGCCTGTAAAGGATGTATGCATACCATTTGAGAGCACTTCTAGGAATTCCTCTCGATCCTAAGATATTTAACTGTGACAAGAAACAAAGATATGGGCATGGATGCAATGAAAGAAATCATCCAAAGTCGCCCATGCCCACACCTCCACTAGACTCACATCGATTCCATGATATCCCCTTGGAAAGCATTCAGACAGCTATATCTGTTGTGAGAAAATACGATCAGGTGTTACAGTATTAAAATGATTACTTCATAGTGCACTGATATCAGAGGAGCGAAATTCTCAAAATGTTCAATACTTTCAAGATGAAGAAACGATTTTAAAACTCGAGACGGTATCCATACGTTGAGTTAGAGATCTCTCACTACCAAGCTGAACCTATTGGCATACATCATTTTTCTGGTTTTCACTGACTTAGTCAGTTCCAAAACTTTTTTTTCGACTAGAGAATTCTGAATAAATCATTCAACAACTGACTGAACTGCATCAGCTTAAAAATAGTCTATTGAATGGAATTTTCGCACATATTCATCAATAAAGGGAAATCATTATGTTTCTAATGCGTAATTTCTGGAATAACTATGGAATCTGCCAGTGTTTTTATTAGTTTACTATTGTCACAGAACGTATTCAAGGGCTAAAGAGGTTTTCGAATATTCTTCTAATCAAACACACTATAGAATGAGAGCCCTCGAACTCAAAGATAAGCAGCCCTGCATCATCGAGCTAGGCGGATTTTGAGAAAATTTGAGTCGTTTTCTGAGATGTAAGTTTTGGTCATAAAGATTCCTATGGATAATCAACATACAACTGACGGCTGCACAATAACGGACCGATTCAGAACTTTCTACTGATGTAAACGATATGTCTCAATAGCACTTCTTTGGTTACAAAATAATTCCAGAAAAAATTCATAGAATTTCAGACTTGTATCCAAAGAGAATGAAAATTTGTGAGCTTAAATGATTCTATCAAATAGAAACTGTACAGTGCACATGGAAACAAGTGCTTTTTATTGACTAATTAGTTTTGGAAATAAATTTTCTGAGTATTGGTTCAGTGAGCCGCTTTCAGGAAATTCTTTGCGTTCCTGAGACAAAAGAAAACATACACGAGATATTATTGGAGAGGTAGTTTGATTGAAACTGTTCCTAGGCGAAGACCCGCAAGGTAGGCCAATATTATTGATTGTACGATACGCCGATCCTATACGAACACCTTTGTTGAAGCGTGTGTTATCCAATTCTCTTTCAGTTGGGTTCTAAATAACAATCATCTTTTATTTTCATTTCCGGCGAGTTTCTTGCTTTACATCACTCGACACTGGCCGTGCGAAAACGCTATCACAACTCTTGTGTACATTTTGAATTCGCTCAACGTGTATGCCCTTTATTGACGATCTAGTCGGTGATTGATCTTCTTTGAAAGTCTAAAAGTACACACATTTCAATTAAAAATAAGGCAATAAATGAAATTTCGAAATACTCTACCGTCGTTGGTTGACTCAAAGAACGGTAGTGGCTGGTGGCTTCCGTAGGTAGTCGTTTGATGCCCACTCCACTGTAATTTCGTTGAATAGTGAGTGGACGGTTAGCTGAATACTACAAAGAGAATTCTTTAAGACTTTGCTCCTAATCCTCAAAATTCTTAGCCGCAGATATGCAAGATTGAAAAAACACTGTTTGCTTTTTTTTATTTCGTTGAATGGCGCGATTCTTCACATTAGGGCGTGTGGATTTTGACCGACGACAGTGTCGTTGTGGTTCTGACTGTCGGTGCAGTTTAACCGCTAGTGTCCACTCTTCATTCGCACTCACATCTCTCAAATACATCGATGCCCCATATCCAACGACATCCTTTAGGGCAGAAAGATGATAATAGAGAATAAGGCAAACGATGAAAAACTTTAAAAAAATTATATTCAATGAATTATATCTCTCTATCATCTTACAAGACACATACTAGTGGAGAAGATGCCATGGTTTCATGAAGAATATTAATACCAGCTATAATTTCATTGGTGAGATAGCTTCATTACAATTAGATTGATAAATCTTATAAAGTTATCAAGAGTTTTGAAATGAACCAGTCACAAGCCTGTATGCAAGAATTTCATTCTATCTACCTGCAGTTGCTGTCTCAGTTTAGGTGTACTTTCTGGATCTGGGAATGCTATCCACTGTGAACTTTGCGCGCGGAAAGTCGCGCACGGATTGTTTGTACTCAAGACAAGATAAATTCACATATTTTATTTTGACAGAGAATAAATACACAAAGATTTAGGAAAAATCACCAAATGTATATTTTATTTCTAAAAGCATAAACATAAAAATCACAATAGGGTGTGGGTATGAGCAGACTGTCACAGAATCATCAAGATCTACCCCCACGATATTTCGATCCCAGTGTATCTTTCTTTCACAATACGTTCACTTTTCCTTTTCTTTTCTCTCACATGGATTTTTACCTTCCTAGTCTCCGCATTATCACATACGAGTTCCCTTCTATATGCTTCGTGTCACCTGAATTTTTCATTTCGTTCTCATCACTCTTATTACGTTTATGGACATTTTCCATCTGTTTCACTTATACATGCAAAACGTAATTTCATAATAAAAAAAAACATTTCGATCAGGCATTCATCCTTTTCGATCTATAGAGGGACCCGCTTAATGGATTCACATCCTTCTACATAGAGCTGCAACAAATAAGGATCTTTGCTTACATCCTGGAGGATATTGTGATTTGCAGGAATGGTTCAGCAGACAGTTGAAGGAACAAAATCGCTGTGGGTGAAAACTTTTCGAAATTACGGCAGACTGTGTACTGTCTGTGTGTGTTGGTAAAATGTGCGTGTCCATGTCAGTCAAGAAAATATTCATGCGCTCATATCCAACACCTACACCATATCCTCGTAGTGTGCAATTCTCCATGAGTAGCATTCGGGATTTTGTACTTTCTAATGAACTACACGATAGAATAGGAGCGATCAGTTGTAATAATTTCGTTTACACTAGAAGAGCATTTGTTAGAGAACTATTGACATACTGCTCGGCCCTGTTAATCACGAATTCGAACTATAATATCGAGTCAGAATGTTGGGACAAATCTTAAGCTGTGATACGAATCCAATTCATCGAATCCTTACTTCCAACTTCAGCATATGCTTAGCATTTGGTTCATTGTGCACACCTTTCTTGGGACATATGGGCAATTGTGGACGCACCCTAAGATTATTCTATGTTCTGTATCAGATTTGAGTATTTCTGTAAATTGGTGACTTTTTAAGGGTGTTTTCAAGCCTTCAAGCAGCGAATCAGTCATTTCAAAATGTGCCGATCTACCATAACTAAGTCTGAAATCTTTTTAGGGTTACTTCTGCTTCCTTTAAGAAATTCAGTGAAAATCAGCTCAACTAAGACCCAATCCAACCGTTCAGATGTGGTATATATCTGAATCTATCATGAATTATTAGCGTTGTTCAACTTCTTTGCTTAGAAAAACAGATGAGAACTGAACTTTTCAGTGCAAAGTGAGGCAAGTAGAACATTTTTAGTCCGCGTTTCTGCAAACAGAAATTGTTTGGTCAATCAATTTTAGTTATAATCTATTAGACCATAATGATTCATGTGACGAGAAATTTCCCTATTAATCATGTTTTGTGTGATTATGTTTTCAATCTCAATTCCGTAGGAATTGCACTTCAAGGTTTTCAATGAGCTTCATTCTTCATTATGTATGTGATATGGAATCACATCAACATTTCGTGGAAAACATATTATTAGACAGTCCGTCAAGAGCGACTCCGCTCTATCAAAATCTGCTTAATCATCTTAATATCAGCTTCATCGCGCATATCTTAACGCAACAAAGATAACTTACATCATTGGTTGATTGAATAGAAGAATCATTCTGGATAGGTGATACTTTTGTGATTCGTTTCATCGAAACGCCATTGAACCCTTCTCGTTTGTTTGGTATACCGTTTGCTGAATCCTACAAGTGCAATGCAGTAAAACTATGATGTTCCTTACACGGAAAGGCTAGGGTCTAGGAATGGAAATTCACTTGTGTCTGTCTGTCTGTAACAAAGTTACCTGATGAAACCTATGGCAAAAAAGGATACGAATATGGCAAAAAATGATTATACATATGATACAAATGAGTATAAATATGGCAAAAGAGGTCATGAATATAAAAGGGTGAAGTATGATACTCTTTTACTTTAAAGTACATTATCCCTTTCGCGGTGATGGGTCCCATCGGTGGAACTCACTATAGGATGGTCCAAAAGCTCGTTTATCATAGAAAAAATTGAATATCTGTGCTATCCTTTGACCAAAGGAGCTGATTTTTTTATCGTTAATAGAGGAATGTTCATAGTTCATATTGATAAGAAAAACATCGATAAAAGTTGTGCTGAAGTAGTACATTTACTACAAATAAAGAAATGTAACCGTTCACGAATTATGAGAAAACAGTATTCATATTGCCGCCAATGGGTTAAAGCACTATAGAGTATGTTAAAGTACCTAAAAGTATTTTAAAGTACCTTGAAGTATCGTAAAGTTTCTTTCAAATATCTTACAGATCGAATTACTCGATACAGTTCATAGTGTGTCTGGTGGAACGTCAATGCCTCTATATTCTTACAGCAAACAGTTGTTAGCGCATTCATTCGATTGAAATATTCAACTATTTTTGTAACCCAGTAGTACTTTGATCCAGGTGAGAGAAGTTACTGATATGGGTGTAGATGAGTAAAGAGAAAACACACCCACATTCTAAGTGAAGATAAATTAAAGATGGAAATACATTATAGATCGTGAGACAAAGCACTGTTTAGAGTATTGCGTTCCTGGACGTTTTCATGAGTTTTTTCCTTGACACTGTGAAATATGCGGAGTGAAAGTGGACGACTTGTAGACTGGAGTATTGGTGGGTGTGGTAAAAAAGCCACGCCCACACTCTACAGTGTGTCCCGAAAGTCCCTTCCTAA